AAAGCTTCCAGGCGGATTATCTGGAAAACGAAGCCCTTGGGCTCGGAGTCTTAAATAACCTTTTTTGTAGCCCTTATTGAGGGCTACAATTGGGCAAAAGATTTATGCCAATAACTTTACTGGTTTTCAGAATATGGCCCTTTGAAATATTTGGAAATCAAATTTCCATGCATTCCCCTTTGGAAAAGTTCGAATTTTTAAATTTTCAGTTTTTCGAATTTTTGACTTCACCAATCGAAAGAAGAGATTAAAATTAGTAAAAAAGCATTTTCGCAACTTTCCTTTTTGGGTTTTAAGGCCTTGTTAAAAAATAAAAACGATTTTTGCGATTTTTGGGCTCAAAAAATTTCAATAATCTGACATTCTTTCACAAAATTGCTGATTACTCGGTTATTATTGTAACAAATATAATGTAAAATTATATATTCTGAATCAGAATTAAATTATCTTCAAGATAAAATAAGATTCAATTCTATATCTTGAATACTTGTGAAGATATTGAGGCTCAAAATTGAAACTTTACCTCAAATTTTGCAAAAGCTTCCAGGCAGATTATCTTGAAAACGAAGCCCTTGGGCTCGGAGTCTTAAATAACCTTTTTTGTAGCCCTTATTGAGGGCCACAATTAGGCAAAAGATTTATGCCAATTACTTTACTGGTTTTCAGAATATGGCCCTTTGAAATATTTGGAAATCAAATTTCCATGCATTCCCCTTTGGAAAAGTTCGAATTTTTAAATTTTCAGTTTTTCGAATTTTTGACTTCACCAATCGAAAGAAGAGATTAAAATTAGTAAAAAAGCATTTTCGCAACTTTCCTTTTTGGGTTTTAAGGCCTTGTTAAAAAATAAAATCGATTTTTGCAATTTTTGGGCTCAAAAAATTTCAATAATCCGACATTCTTTCACAAAATTGCTGATTACTCGGTTATTATTATAACCAATATAATGTAAAATTATATATTCTGAATCAGAATTAAATTATCTTCAAGATAAAATAAGATTCAATTCTATATCTTGAATACTTGTGAAGATATTGAGCATAGGCGGTTCTAGGTGGGGGCTTGGGGGGGCTAAGCCCCCCCAAATCTGGAATTAGCCCCCCCAAATTTAAATTAGTGATGTGTGGCAAAAGCCCCTGAATAAAGAATATTCAAGCGTTAGGATTTATTAACTACATAATTTCATTAATTTCATTGATTTAATACCTTTATCTAATTATTTCATAAAATTTTATTCAATTATTTCATAAATATCCGAAATAGGGAAGTCTGGAAACAGAGGCAACCCTAGCCCCCACCGCTAGGGACAGGGTTGCCTCTGTTGCCTGTAGGTGTGTGTAGGTTAGCCAACCCTTCTGATTTAGGCGGGAGTCTCCCGCTTTTTTACTAAACCTCCCGCCTCCCGCGCCCTTAAACAAAACTCCCGCTTTTCCCAAAAATGGAAATTACATGAAATATAATTCTGAACTAGGTGCCCTTATTTATTTTTACTTACGAGCGTGCGGTAAAGTTCACTTTACCACACTTATTTGCAAATGGAAAGTAACACTGCGTTAAAGTATCACTTTCTGCATTTGTTAGGTAAATAACTATTACCCTAATTTTAATACTTCAATCTGGCAACCCAACGCAACTGGGGAGCTTTAAGGTACGGTTTGTTAGAATAGTACGCGACGCACAACTGACAACGTAAACGTCGTCATTGGTTCAGGTATGACGTACACCCGTTTTCTGACGCTGATTCTGACGTCAGAAAACAGTCAGTTGTGCGTCGCGTACTATCGTAACAAACCGTACCTTTACGCTTAACGTCGATGATAGGCGAGCGCACTTTGATAATATTATTTGAATCTTTCTGTATTTCTAATGCCGAACGAAGACAGAACTACTCAAGCTTGAGTGCTTGGGCATCAAATCTGAACTGAAGGTATCGTACGGCCTCTACTGCGATAGGCTTCTTTTCTTGGTCTCCATTCCAGTACTTGCTTTGTCTTATCTATTGTCGGTTACTTTGCCTGCCCAAATTCATTATAGATAGAGTCGTTATTCTCTCTGTTCGATTATATTCCAATTTCTTGGTCTAAGCAAGGTATTTGATCTTCTTCAAGTGCCTTGTTCTCTACGAACGTTGGCAATCATCAGCGCTTCGTTGTGACGCTGACTGTAGATTATAAAGGGGGTTTGAGCTTCAAGAATTATCTACCAAACTCCACTTTATTTAAGCCAGGTTCGGTTGACACGGTCCAAGTATACTTGGAGTCTTGGACGCTGCGCACGTCTCACTTGGACGACACTTTTATCATATTAACTATTTTTCCAAGTCCAGGATAGGTCCTAACATCTAACATCCAAGTAAGTAGGCTGGCTGCCAACTTACTTGGTCCAAGTATAAGTTGTGTAGTCCAGTGCCGACAAAACTTTTCCTCTTGTAATAACTATTATTGGTAAGTCTGGCAACAACGTCCATACAATTTTTGAATTCGTCTTGAATATAATAGTTCAAGAGCCCAGAGCCGCCAGACACAACTTATTTTCTAAAGGACAGAATATGTGGGAGTGAGTAGCACTTATAGGTACTATGAACGTATGTATACTCGTTAAGTTGGGTAGACGGCCAGTTGACTGTTATTTGTAAATAACGGTTTTTCCCATTATGGGAAAAACCTAATCCCATTTCTACTCTAGCCTGGAGTAGACTGTAAGTTTAAGAGGGGGAAATAGATATCTCGCTCACTCTAAAACGCATGCATAGTACCCTCGCGCTCATACTCACGGAAAAACTATTATTGCGTCTGGGGGGATGTTTGGCCGGTGCGATTGGTCTGGCTGAGCACACGTAGTTATGAAATAGTCTCCCCAATAACATGTATAAAAATCAAGCGTTAGAAAAAAAGTTAAAGTACTTTTTAAGCTTTCGCACCTGGTGTCGGTTAATTGGCCGTCTACCCAACTTAGCGGATATACATACGTTCATAGTACATATAAGTGCTACACAATCCCACATATTCTGTCCTTTAGAAAATAAGTTGTGTCTGGCGGCTCTGGGCTCTTGGACTATAAGAATTTGTTTAAATTGCACCACTGGCCTCAGAGATAATTGACCGTCCCGCTACTTTTCTTAAACTCTGTATATGATAAAATGTGACAAAATTAGGGCGTGGCACCTGAAAAAAATTTCCGCCTGCAGCGAAACATTATTTTTCCCTCCCATTCAACCTCCTACTTTTCAATTTTGAAAATCTGGCAACCCTGGGTGTGTGTAATAAGTAGAATGAAACTTTGGTATTTTTCATAAATAAATAAAAACAATTTTGACTAAATATTTATTAAAATATAAGATTATTGCGCGTGGCAGCTAAAAAAAATTTCGCCTCCGGCGAGGCCTCTAGCAGCGCCTGCGGCGAGCGACCTCTGAGCAGGGGCTTCAGCCCCCTCCAGTACAGATGGGCTAGAACCGCCTATGATATTGAGGCTCAAAGTTGAAACTTTCCTCAAATTTTGCAAAAGCTTCCAGGCAGATTATCTTGAAAACGAAGCCCTTGGGCTCGGAGTCTTAAATAACCTTTTTTGTATCCCTTATTGAAAGCTACAATTGAGCAAAAGATTCATGTCAATAGCTTCACTGGTTTCCAAAATACAAGCATTTGAAATATTTGAAAATCCAATTTCCATGCATACCCCTTTGGAAAAGTTCGAATTTTTAAATTTTTGGATTTTGCAATTTTTGACTTTACTAATCAAAAGAAGAGGTGAAAATTAGTGGAAAAGCATTTACGCAACATTATTTTAAGGGTTTTAAGGCTTGTAGAAAAATAAAAACGATATTTGCAATTTTTGGGCTCAAAAAATTTCAATAATCTGATATTCTTTCACAAAATTGCTGATTACTCGGTTATTAGTATAACAAACATAATGTAAAATTATATATTCTGAATCAAAATTAATAATCTTCAAGATAAAATAAGATTCAATTCTATATCTTAAATACTTTTAAAGATATTGAGGTTCAAAGTTAAAACGTTAAAACTTTGTCTCAAATTTTGCAAAAGCTTCAAAGCCGATTATCTTGAAAATGAAGCCCTTGGGCTCGAGGTCTTGAATAACCTTTTTTGAAGCTCTTATTGAGAGCTACAATTGCCAGAGTTTCAGCTAGAACCCGAAAAATGAAAATAGAGATAAAAAGTCAAAAAAGTTGACAGAAACTTTCTCTGATAATTTTTCTTGGAATCTGATAATTTTGTTCTCAAATCCTGATAATTTTAAATTTGACATCTGACAACACTGAAATAGATGCAATTTTTCTGTAAATAGAGCCTCCTTCAATCAAACCATCTAGAATTGTTTCAACTTTATAAAGAATTCTTTATTTTCTAGAACTATTATCATCTATCTTTGAATCTTCCAATTTAAGTCAGGCAACAAGCTTTTATAAAAATTATATTTTTCGTTTAGTGAATCTTGTTTTTAGAAACTATTTATTTTATCAAAAACTAAGAAATTACAACAAAAAATACTAGACTCAAATTGCTGCCACGTAAAAGTCGATAACAAATGAATCTGTGAATCTAATTACTTTAGTCTGGCTAAAAATAATAGAATGAGCTCCAGGAGCTCTGTACGCCGTATTTATAAAGAAATACTGCTGATTCCAGCATTTACGTAGGCGGAAACCTTGATACAATGGTACTTTTCCAGTGCAGTACCGCTTAGTAAGCAGTTTTACATTATTATGAGTTTTGACAGAGGCGTACGCTTATATTTATTTAACATTGAAAAGGAGAATTATGGGGTTTTATATTATAACTTAGAGAACTCCATCGATTCTTGCTCTATTTACTTCACTATTTTTTCTATATCTAATAATGCCGAACAGAAAAACTCAAAGTTAGACTTTTGGGTATTTGGATATACCTAAATAAAACAAACAAAAGTTTATTTTTTCCGTCATTTAATGCTCACAGTAGCAGTTATTACAGTTTTTTTTTTTACTTTTGTTTTTTAAATACTACAAAATATCTCTTCTACGACAGCGTTTTACAGCTCTTATATAGAGAAGCTCTCCTTCCTTTTAAGTATTAGTTCTTGAGACCATATTTTATTTCTTGTTTCAACAAGCAATAATTCTTTTTATACAACTCTCCCAATATAAAATAAAATTTACCCATGTATTAATAATTTCTAACAACATTAGAGGAACTAATTATAGAGCATCTATTTATTATTATAACAAATAAATATATGCTTTAGAAAAGTTGCCTTCAACAACAAGACAAATATAAAAAAAGTCGGTAAATTTTATTAAGGCCAGCCCTTTTAAGGCAACTGTATATAAAAATGTACACATTTAATTGGTAACTCGTGTTTTCTTTTTATCACTTACTCTCAGTGACAAATTATATCTATCCATATACTTAAGCCTTAAAATCTATTGTACTTTTATTCAAAAAGCTCAACATCAACAATAATAGGTTTTTATTTTTTCTGAGTACTTAAAATGCTTTGGCAGTGTAGCATTTTTTGTTTAAAAAGTGCCTCGTAAGTACTCCGAATGTAACAAATTTATATTTATCTACAACGTGTGTGTATTGGTTGATAAAATATTTTTTTTTTTTTGTGCACACTTCATCTTATAATCTTTTGTGGTAATAACGCGCAACAACTTTTTTTTTAATATCAAAAAACATCAGCCTTTGTTTTCTAGAAGAAAAAAAATTATATAAGTATATAAACTTTTAAATAAGTAGGTAAGTATATAAAGAGTGTCCCATATAATGTATTGTGGTGTTTTTGTTCCAGAGTTTATATATGCATGGGACATGGGATGGGACACTCTGTATAAGTAGTTATTATTGGGGTAGTTTTAGGCAAGAGTACATTATAGAAGGTATGCTGCATATTTGTTTTCCACGTTTTGGTCTTAAATAACCTTCTTTCAATAAATAACAACCACAGCAATTTCTCAACTTTAAATGACAATATTGAATTCTGTTCTTCTATTAGTGAGTCCACAAATTGATAACTGGAAGAAGGTATGAGAAAAGTAGATGAGCTGAAAAACAACAGTTGAAAATTCTAGGAAAGTTGCTAACAAAGAAGAAGTTTACTGAAAGTAAATACAACTAAATATGGATAAGATATAAAATAATACAGCAAAGAAAATATGAAGACCAGTGCAACAAATTTCAACAATAATTAGAGATTTAGAATAATCACATTAGGTACTAGAAGAGAGGCAAATAGCACAAGTATTGGTAAAAACCGAGGCTGACTTTAGTACCGAGAAGGAGAAGTCAGAGTTCAAAGTTAATGATGCAAAAGGAAAGAGCAAAATAGTCCAGTGTTTAACTGGTAAACATTAAGACATGGTTAAGGATGCAAAGACGGCAAAAGAAATGATGAAAGCACTTTGAAGCGTAACTTACTTACTTTAAAGATCAACAGAGATAGAAAATTGGAAGATCACTTTTTAATATTCGGCACTCTGATAAGAGATTTGGAAGATGCAGGTTCCAAACTGGATGAAGAAGACAAAGTTTGCTATTTATTGTTGTTTTTGAATGAAGAATATGAATCAGTCTTACTGGCCATGGAAAATATGAATAAGCATCAAAATGGATTTTGTGAAATCAAGGTTATAATAGATGAGGAGATGAAACTTAAAAGTAAACCATTGAAACCTAGTGAAATGACATTCCATGCCAATGAAAAAAGTGTTATAAAATATTAGAATGTCGTCAGAACAATACAAGAGAAGTAGAGGATACACTTTTTCAAGGAGGTTCAAATTCTAGTCTCATGAAAATAGTCAAAGTTATGAATACCCATGGGCCAAGACAAAATAGTAGACAAACACAGGTGAATGAAGTAGATGGAATAGCATTCATTGCTCTGAACAGCATATAGGCATCAACTTTAGATATTCCATCATTTATTTTGGACTCTGAATGCACACAACATATTATGGTGATGGAAAAATATCAATATTAGAGAAATTGACACCATGTTGCTTGCAAACAGGGAAGACATATTGAAAGGTCAAAGAAAAGAAGTCAAGATAGAACCTCTCATTGTTTGAAGGTATTATACACAGATCAAAATCATGAAATAACTTTAATAGATAAGGATTTTGATGGAAATTTATGGCATACGTTAGGCCATGTAAATAGGCATAGTCCAAACCAGTTACGGTTACCTTATAGTTCAAAGATTTGTTATGGTTGTATGGAGGGCAAAAGTACTCGTAAACCATTCATGTAATATTAGTACAAAGGTTGGTCAGCTGATACACTCTGAAATAGCAGGTTTCATAATCACGCCTAATTTTGAAGTCTATAAGTAAATATTTTCCCGAGGGGTAAACCATTAGTGGAAATGTAATTTTTTTTAGGAATCACATAGTAATCAACCAGGAATGCATGGCAATCACATAGGAATCCATTGGCAATCGCTGAGAATCATGTGGTACCTACCGAATCGCTGGGAATATCATCTCATTCTAACCCAGAAATCGCATATCATACATTTTAAACGATATAGCGTACCGGTCAGTTGTGTATTTGCCTTTACGGCTAAGTTTTGGGCAACAGTCCTAGACAATTTGATATCCTAACAAGTTTAACTGAGCCAATAACTGAACTCGAGACTAGGGTTGAAGAAGTAGAAGAATAAGATGGAGATTAGGTTTGTTCTCACAGAAATTACAAATCAGTCAGAGCGTTTTTGATTGGGGCAAATCGTCAACAACCAGTCTTCTAACTATTTTCAACCAATGAAATTTGAAGTTTGCTTTGTTTAGAAAATATCTATAATAATACAGTCGTAGAAAGAACATTGAATAATGGGAATCTTTCGGTTACAGAAAAAAGTATCAGTTTTGCAGTTTAGTGATAAAGACAAAATGGAAAAAAAGATTACCAGAGAAAGACACAAAATCAGATACGGTTAGGATTTTCTTAAATTTGATAGGTCCTGATGAGGGGGTTAAGATCTATAAAACATATATTGAAAACTAATGAAAATGACAAATATGACATAATGTGATTGCAAAATTTAGGAAATACTGTGCTTCTAGGAGAAACAAAACGTATGAGAAATTTGTATTTAATAACCGAAATCAGGGGTCAGAAGAGCCGTTTGATCACTTCTTTATTAGTGAACTAAAAAAAATAATTCCAACTTGTGAGTATAGACACTCAGGAAGACAGTATTTCAATAAGTAGAATGGTACTTGTGGTAAATGACCCAATTATTCAGGAAAAACTTTTAAGTATTCAAGGTTTAACAATGGATCAAGCCGTGGCAATGTGCAGAAATACTGAGTTAATCAGCTAAAATCAGTGCGAAATATAAATATGGACGCTGATGTTTCTGGAGTAGATGCAGTGAAATCAAAGAAACAAGATGAAAAATCAAGGAAATTTCCTCTAGCATTTGGAAAAACATGTTACAAGTGTGGAAAAGAGACTCATTTTAGTAATGCATGCCTAATAAGGGACGTTGTACATCAGCAACAAAAATTCTCGAAAAAATAAAAGAGGTTATTAGGACAAATAACAGTTCGGGTTTAGAGAGAGATAAGACTGCATTCTTTGAAAAAGTTAAAGATAGATGAAACTCAGTATGGATGGAAAAATTAAAAGTCCATAACACAGACATAGATTTCGAAATAGATACTGGTTGCGAAGTGAATATTTTACCTAGAAAAATACCTGCCGAAGACATTTTGCAGAGACAATAACTGTCATATTATGCTAGTGAAGTGTAGTACAATGCTGGAAATCTATGGTAGAGCACTAGTTAGAAAAATCAACTTGAAGTGTTTAGGGTTTGGTAAAGTATGTGAGTTAGAATTTTTGATTGTTGATTTGAATGTTAAACCCAATTTTTCAGATACTTGTAAAACTAAACTAAAAGAAAACAGTATACCAGTGGCTAGACCTGGTCGTCGGGTTGTTTAAGCTATTGAAGGTAGATTAAAACAAAAATTAGATGAATTAGAGCATCAGGAAATTATAAAGAAATTAGATAATGCTGATGAGTGGGTTAATAATCTGGGTATAATTGAAAAACCAGATAAATCCTTAAGACTATGTTTGGATCCACAGAATTTAAACAAGACAATACTTTGAAATTCCAAGCTTGGAAGATATTAGTGCTAAGTTGTCAGGAAAAAAATATTTTTCTGTGCTTGATTTCAAAGATGGTTTTTATCAAGTAAAGCTTGTTAAGAAGCCTAGTGTTTTAACATCATTTTCTATTTCCTTTGGTTGTTACAAGCTTTTGAGACTACCGTTTGGTTTAAATTTGGCACCTGAATATTTTCAAAGAATGAATTGTAAACATTTTGGGTATTTCGAAAATGTAATCATATTTTGGTGATTTATTGGTAGCTTGTGGAGGAACATGATAAGACATTGAGAATCGTGTTACAGAGGCAAGATAGAAGGGTGTGAGATTCAACAAAAATAAGTTACAACTGAGAAAGTGTACATGGGGCATATTTTTGATAGTGAGGGTATGAAAGTAAATATTGATAAAATCAAGGCCATCAATGATCTTAAAGCACCATCCAATAAGAAAGAATTGCAGAAACTGCTTGGCTTCGTAAATTATGTGAGAAACTGTATTCTCAATTTGGGGGAAATTGTAAATCCACTTTGTCAGCTACTTAGCAAAGAAATTGTTTTTCAGTGGTTAGACGTACAAAATAAAGCTCTTGAAGATATCAAACTTGTATTAAATGAAAATATTACATTAAATGTTATACAAACAGATGCATCACAACATGAATTTGGATATGTTGCCTAATGCAAGATGGTAAACCAGTACTGATCACAAACCGAATATACCTAAGTATTATGAACAAGCAGATATCCTATATGCTCAATAAACTCGCCCCGATTACAAAGATTGAAGTTAAAACTGTTAAGACATGATATACAAGTTTGTTATCAGCCTGGGTGATATTTATGTATTGCAGAGTATTTATCCAGAAACGTGAATAGTGAAATGGCGGAATATGGAAGAAATGGTACATTCAGTTGAAAATTAAATGTGTGGTAATGTGGTAAAAGACACTCATATGACATGATATTCCTGAATTACCTTTTCAAAAGATAGGTTGTGACATGGACTATGGAGGAAAATCATATTTAGTAATTGGGAAGAAAGTGTCGGCATTAAGCAGGAGTTCTTTGACAAACTGGATGAAATCCTAGTAGATATTGGAAGAAATAGAGAAATCCTAATGATAGGGGATTTCAATGGAAGAACGGAAAGGACGAACAATAGCCCAGTTTTTGGACCATTTGGAGAAGAAATAGGTACTCAATGATATTGGCCAAAGACTCATACATCTCTATGAAACACACAATCTTAGCATATTGGATTTTTTAAACACAAAGATATACACCGCTACACATGGATACAGAATACCCGTAACTTGGAAACTATTATTGACTATGTGAAAAGCAAACAAGAAACAAACATAGAGATGAACAACGTAAGAGTCCTGCGAGTCAGATCATTTTTCAGTAAGATCAAAAATAAAGTTAAAGTTTAGGAAAACGAAGAAAACAAAACACCATTATGCCATACTAATGGACACAGTGGATACAACAAATTACAATTTTGACAGTTTTAGATATGACAGCACTGTATTTCTTTATCAGAGGCGACTCGATAGCAAAGTATTGAACCCTGAAGAATGTACCTTCAATAAACTCTATGAGAACATTATAAGGAGTCTAATAGAAGCCACCCAAGAAGCAAAGGAAAAAGATACTAACAAGGAGATAGAGCTATTAGTCCACGAGAAGAAGCAAAAGTATCTGAAATGGCTAATAACAAAAAATAAATACAAAAAGACAACTAATAATGTTCATCACTAGGTATAGCTATAGGAACGAGTCTTGAGATAAGAAATGTGAAGAAATTAAACAACTTTAACATAGGAGAAAGGAAATGCTCAGAAGTATGGAGATTTATATCAAATCTCAAAAACCCAGGAAAGGACAGAGCTGAAATCCAGATTATTAAACCAGAGCAATGAATAGAACATTACAAGAGTCTATTACAAGAAAGTAGACAGTAATACATATTAAATTCTCCAAGACATATTGAAGTACATGGAGAAGTAGTTGAGATATCTAAAGAAACACTAAAAAAGGCTATTAAGAATCTTAAGTCAGGTAAAGCTAGCGGCCCAGAACAGATATACCCTGAAATAACAAAGAAGAAGAAGAAAACGAAGAAGATCAAAAGTGGAATGATGGCAGAAGACCATAAAAAAATCCATGAGTGAAAGAAATCTCTCATCAGAGGATTGCGACGATAGAAGAGGATGGAAATTAGGTGTCGGACAATGAAAAAAAGACGTTTTAATAAGACATATTCAGCACTAAGTCGTGGGGGATCCTTCAAGTAACCCCAGAAAAATAGTTAAAATAGTATAAAGTTATTAGAACACGGAGTAGAAAAATTAGCAACATCTTAGATACTTCCACTTATATTGGATTATACCTCTTTTCTAATAATGAACCTTGTGCCGTCCTAATTTTATTAACTTAACAGGTACTACCTACCTAATTATTATCTTAGCAGGTAACGTTGTTAGATTCATTTCTTGGATTTAGAGATAGAGATTTTACAGTTTGCAAAATTCATTCTAGAAGATAGAATTCAACTAATGTGATTTTTTTGTCATAAATCAATGACACCTGGAACTTTATAGGAAATATCACAGTATAAAAAAAAATCGGGAATAAAGAAGTTGACTTTTCAACTTTAGTTCTTCATATCGCCAAGATTGGTCGAGGAGGTTTTTTTTCACTATTTTTCTGGGGTTCCCTGAAGGGTCTTCTACGACGTAATGGAGAGGTTATGCGTCATTTTTGAAATCACCCTGTATATGTATGGAATACCTGATGTTATAGTGTCAGAAAATATGCCATTTAATTCATATGAATCTGAATGTTTTGCCAATGAGTTTGACTTTAAATTTCAGATAAGTAGCCCTAGATATCCGCGATCGAATGGACTTGTTGGAAGATTTGTGTAAACAGCTAAAAATATTATTCGGAAATTAGATGATTTGTGGGTTGCTTTGATGGAGTATCTTAACACGCCTATAACAAATTCTAAAAGACCTCCTGCTGAACTCTTGTTTTCTAGGAAATTAAAAAATAAGTTACCTTGGCTTGAGGAACCCAGTTTTAAAATTAGACAATTCAGGAATGAATTAGGAAACAGAAATAAATTATATAAAAAGTATATTATGATAAACATGCTAAGGAGAGATGAAAGTTTGAAGATCCTGAAACTGTTGTGTATAGGGATCAAAATTAGTGGCGTCCTGCAACTATACTATCCAAGCATGAAGCTCCAAGGTTACTTGATTAATAATAATGTTTCTAATGTTTTAAAGCGAAATAGTCATGATTTATCAAGATTCAAGTAGAAAAAGTAATCGCGGTGATTCTGATCTAGAGCAGAATACATTATCTTAACATGAATCTTTCAATTTTGGAACTGATAATGATGGTATTGTTACAGAACCCTGTATGTGTAGTGGCTCACCAGGCGAGAATCAGATATATACAAGGTCTAATCGTAGTATTAAGAAATCTTCTAGGTTTACTGATTATGATATTGATAGTTAGTGTTTAGTCCTAATGTACCTATTTCCATAAATCCGTAAAGAGTAATAGAGTGTTATACGGAATGAAAAAGTCGTCAAAAGTCTGGAATAATGGGAATGAAAATCCTAACTAGGACGAAGGATGTGAATTTGATCAGGAAAGATTTATGGAAAAGCTTTTGAATTATTTCAATATGAAGGACTGTGAGCCAAAGAAAACCCCAATAGATAAAAGTTTCCAATACAACAAAACCAATGAAATTAGAAGACTAATGTATGTAGCAACAACTGGTAGACCTGAGATTAATTATGAAATGTCATATTTAAGCAGACTTTTAGATTGCCCATCATCAGAAACTGACTGGATGACTGGAAAAAGAATTCTAAGATATTTGCAAAGAACAAGGAACTAAAAAAATGCGATTGACTTATTATAGAAATACAGATTATCAGATAATGCTCAAAGGATATTTAAATACTGATTGGGCGACAGATAGGAACGATAGAAAAACAAAGAAGCAAACTGTTTTGTGATGATAAAAGCGCAATCCTAAATGTCTAGAAGCAATGAAAACTCGAAAAGGGCCAACATTGACATCAAGAATCATTATTTAAGAGATCTGATTTTGAACAATGAAATTGTAATTGAGTACAGTACGTCGATTTTAATCTAATACTTCAAAGGAATGTGAGCTGGTGGCTCCTTACGTTAGAACGCTAATGGTCACCTGACGTCACACCTGTTATGCTTCACCCCCTCGCTCCTCATCTGAACCAAATTTAGCTGGTATTTTAACTGAATCTTTGGGTAATGAGATATAATTTCAATTTTAGACAGGAAATTAGTTTTATGTGTGTACATTTTATGAACATACCTTCTAATGCCCACGCAAAAAAAATGAATCCACCCCAATCAAAATAGAGAATTACATAGAAAAAAAAACTGAAATAATTTAACTACAAACTAAATAATCACCAACAAGTTAGTGCCGTTTTTATTTAATAAACTACGTAATTTAACGATCCTGTAAAACTTTGTGAGCATTTTCTACTAGGTAAATACGAAATTACTACGTGAAAAAAATTTGTAGATGTTTAGACGTCCGTCTCTGGCTTAAGTAAAGTCTAAGTTTGAAATCGAAGAAAAAAATAAACTATATTTATAAACATAAAAACAAATAACAATTTATTCTACAAAATTAAACAGCTGCCCTCGTATATTAATATTGGCAGCAAATATTTGGGAAGTAAATATAATGAACAATATATAGGTTTTAGTTCTAATATAGAACGTTATAAAACCAAAAAAATAAAAAATGCTTCTATATTATTTCAATAAATCAGAGTAAATTTTCCATTTTTAAATGCCCCTGTAAACATGGAGCAGTAGTCGAACGAGCAACGGGCAAATTTACTCTGAGCTACCTTGTATATAATAAACAGAAAAAATAAACCATTCACTCTACGCAAAAAAAAAAACTGCCCAAATATTTCCTGCCATTAAATCAAAAACTGAGTTCAAAAAAAAAAAAAATTAATCCTACACTACTAGATGACTACTACAATAATGTGTAATGTTTTATTTACAAATGTTTTGGTTGGATGTAAAAAGGAACAAAAAAGTCCCATTCACTGGTAATCATAAGTGCACAAAAGTCCAAGTTTTCAGGCACAAAATAATGAATCTAAATCGGTTTTGCTACAAAAAAAAAGAGGCTCCATCGTTGTCCTCCTGTTTTTTTAAACGTCCTCGTATTTAGCCAATTTGTTTTGAAGCACGAGATTTTCTTTTTTCAGTCGTTCCAACTCTTGACGAAGTCCAATATTCTACAAATAATAATTGTTAAATGATTCATATAGAAATTATTGAAAATTGTTACCTCTTTTTCGAGGTATCCAGCCCTCAGAGCTATTTGATTCTCCTTCATTCGTCTGGCATCTCTCGAACGTTTGGCTGCCAGATTGTTTTTTTTGCGCCGCGCCCAATATTTGTCGTCTTTCAGGTCTTCTGGAACGAATTGTTTCCTGGATTTTTTGATAATCGGCTGTGGTTTGAGGTCCTCATCTGAAAACGCTCTTGTTCGTGGATCGAAGTCGCGACAGCTCGATGCCATCGAGAGCGCTTCAGAAAAAACTGCATTTTAAGACCGTTTAGTATTTCTGATACCCGTTTTCTGGCTTAATTTTGGCGCCTTACTAATCTTCTGAATCATGAGAGCGCAATTGTTGTAATACCAAAGATAAAATGCAATTTTTACTGTTCAGAATTTAGAATTTCAAAACAAAACGAAAAAATAGAAGAAGTTTAGTAAGGCTTCTGATGTAAATTGAACTTATTTATGAATAGTAAAACAACATATTTATATATAGACAATTTTTGTGAAAAGGCTAAGTTCAATTTACACAGCAAATTTGAACTAAAAATTTCCCATTTCCACCACAAAAGCATTTTGAAATGTTTCGACAAATAAATGATTTGTAGCCTGCCCAAAGGGTCAAATTTCAATTTGAAATTTGGAGAATATGAGCCCTTTGGCCACGATTCAGTTGCTTGATTTTTGGTTTTGCTTCAACTGATTCAAAATGTTGTTCCAAGCATCAAAGTTGGCAAATATCGAATTAAAAACATGGTAGAAATCCTAGAAATCCTATATCCTGACTCTATTGGAAATATAGGCCAATCAAGATGTACAGACTATCCAAGATTTGATGGTTTTGGGAGGTATTTCTAAAGGAGTTGGAAAAAATCTGTTCCCCACTTACGAGCCTAGATTTTCAAAAGAAATTGACTGAAAGCTACAATGCCTGAAAATCTTGATTGAATATCACTCACGGATTTCAAGACATTGAAGCAAAAAGATTTTGCCACAAGAATCCTGAAGTTCTGAATTTATTTTGAATCATGACAAGGTTAAGAAAAATTGCCAATATCCCCAATAAAATTTAAACAAATCAAAATAAATTATACACTACTAGAAAGAGCATTAAATTCTTTATAAATCTGTGCAAAATTGTGTTCGATAGCTCAGAGAGTTTTTGAGCAATTGAGCCTCAAAGTTGACTTTTAGTCCAAATTTTGTCAAAAACTTCCAACTCAATTTGCTCAAAAACAAGAAATCTGGAAATATTGTAAATTACAGGCCATCTAGAACTTGATAAAAGTTACAAATTCTGGAAATTTTAATGCAATTTGCTCAACGGCTACCAAGCAATTGAGGTTCAAATATTTTGAAATCACAATTCAAAAAGGGTACCTACCCTTATGAAAAATTCGATTTTTTTATTTTTCAGTTTTGCTCAATTTTCACTTTATGAATCGATAGAGCGGGTCAAAATTAGTGGAAAACAACCCTATTATCAGTTCCAAATGACCATTTTAAGCAAACACAAAAATAAAAAGAAAATCCTATTTTTGGCTCTGGAAAATTTTCAAAATCCTGACATGGTCATGAACAATTGCCCATATCTTTGATAAATTTTGAGCAAATTGAAATAAATGATACACCATTGGAAAGAGCCTTAAATTCTCTATAAATCTGTGCCAAATTGAGTTTGATATCTCGGATAGTTTTTGAGCAATTGAGCCCCAAAGTTGACTTTCAGTCCAAATTTTGTCAAAAACTTCAAAATCAATTTGCTCAAAACTAGAAATCTGGAAATATTGTAAATTACAGGCCATTTAGAACTTGATAAAAGCTACAAATTCTGGAAATTTTAATGCAATTTGCTCAACAGTTACCGAGCAATTGAGGTTTGAATATTTTGAAATCAGAATTCAAAGGGGTTAGTTACCCTTATGAAAAATTCGATTTTTTTATTTTTCAGTTTTGCTAAATTTTGACTTTATGAATCGATAGAGCAGATTAAAATTAGTGGAAGACAACCCTGATATCAATTCCAAATGGCCATTTAAAGCAGACACAAAAATAAAAAGAAATTCCTATTTTTGGCTCTGGAAAATTTTCAAAATCCTGACATGGTCATGAACAATTGCCAATATCTTTGATAAATTTTGAGCAAATTGAAATAAATGATACACCATTGGAAAGAGCCTTAAATTCTCTATAAATCTGTGTCAAATTGAGTTTGATAGCTCGGATAGTTTTTGAGCAATTGAGCCTCAAAGTTGACTTTTAGTCCAAATTTTGTCAAAAACTTCAAAATCAATTTGCTCAAAACTAGAAATCTGGAAATATTGTAAATTACAGGCCATTTAGAACTTGATAAAAGCTACAGATTCTGGAAATTTTAATGCAATTTGCTCAACAGTTACCGAGCAATTGAGGTTTGAATATTTTGAAATCAGAATTCAAAGGGGTTTACCCTTATGAAAAATTCGATTTTTTTATTTTTCAGTTTTGCTAAATTTTGACTTTATGAATCGATAGAGCAGATTAAAATTAGTGGAAAACAACCCTGATATCAATTCCAAATGGCCATTTAAAGCAGACACAAAAATAAAAAGAAAATCCTATTTTTGGCTCTGGAAAATTTTCAAAATCCTGACATGGTCATGAACAATTGCCAATATCTTTGATAAATTTTGAGCAAATTGAAATAAATGATACACCATTGGAAAGAGCCTTAAATTCTCTATAAATCTGTGGCAAATTGAGTTTGATAGCTCGGATAGTTTTTGAGCAATTGAGCCTCAAAGTTGACTTTTAGTCCAAATTTTGTCAAAAACTTCAAACTCAATTTGCTCAAAAACTAGAAATCTGGAATTATTGTAAATTACAGGCCATTTAGAACTTGATAGAAGCTACAAATTCTGGAAATTTTAATGCAATTTGCTCAACAGTTACCGAGCAATTGAGGTTTGAATATTTTGAAATCAGAATTCAAAGGGGTTTACCCTTATGAAAAATTCGATTTTTTTATTTTTTAGTTTTACTCAATTTTGACTTTACGAATCGATAGAGCGGGTCAAGATTAGTGGAAAACAACCCTGATATCAATTCCAAATGGCCATTTTGAGCAGACACAAAAATAAAGAGAAAATCCTATTTTTGGCTCTGGAAAATTTTCAAAATCCTAACATGGTCATTAACAATTGCCCATATCTTATAAATCTGTGCTAAATTCAGTTCAATAGCATGAGTAGTTTCCGAGCAATTGAACCTTAAACTTGAATTTAGTCAAAAACTTCAAACTCAATTTTCTCAAAAACTATAAACCTGAAATTATTTTCCAATGCAAGTTTTTTAAAGCTCAATAGGAGCTGCAAGGCCTGAAAATCTTGATTGAATATCTCTCACGGATTTGAAGGCATTGAAGCTCAAAGAAACGATCAAATCTAAAAAAAGGTTGAGCCATCTAGAAATATTGACATATTTAGTAGGTATAACTTTGGAAATTAGTAATCACTTTGTTCATGCTGTAAAAAATTCAAAAGTAGTTGAATTTCAAACTACATAAAGTTCGGTATAGGTTTCGAAATATCCATGGATCTGGAAGAGGACAAGTTGTTTTTTCTAAAACTGGAATTGTTGAAGAAGTTATTGGTGTATAATCTCAATAAAACTTGCCAAAAAGTCCAGGAAATATTGAAAATGGATACTGAAACAAGGTACGTGAACCAATAGAGTCCAAAACATACTGAATTTCCAGGATTTTGAATCATCTTTATTGTAAAACACTATACAATTTTAGATCTTCTAGATATTGAAACTCTTAGTAGAAGATCCAAAATTCAAAAAGAGTTATAGGTATGACATGAGCAGGTATACAAACTGAATCAATGAGACCTCAAATCTTTCAAATAAGCTAAAAATTCTTACTGGAATCAGACGGCGATGGTGGATTATTGGTGTCCGGACTCATACAATCGCTCGGACTAGGAGATCGTTCCCTTTTAGGCGGATGGGCACCCGATAGTGGACCTAAGGCTCCATGAGACCCCAATCCGTCCATGGACACACCATTTTCTGACAGGAATTCATCGAGGTCGACATACTATAAACAACAACAAAATAAGTATTTTTGTTTGGAAAAATCTTCAATTAAGTTTTGCTTACTTTAAGGTCAGTTTCGTAAGACTTGTCCCATAGATTCGGTCCTAGGAAGGCGGTCTGAGCTTCCACGGTGTTCCACAGTTCGCCGTCTTCTTTTTTGTCGTCGCCCAAAATCGCGCCGGCCAGTTCTTTGATCGTCGAATGTCCATGGCCGTTGTGGTGTGAAGGTTTACTGTTGCCTAGAAAAAAAAATCACAAATTGTTTAAACATTTATATAAATGCAATAACGTTAAGTATACCTGTGAAAGTTTGAGGCTGTTGCCTCATCTTACCAAACATTTCTAAGTAATAATTGTAATACTTAAGATATTCAGGAGTTAATACGGGATTAAACATGTTAGGGTAAAGGTTAAACATTTTTAAATTTATGTAGGTAATAAATGTACGTGTGATCAGTCACACTGTAAAAAGCTGAAAGAAATAGAATCTTGATAATGCTATGCTCAACAAAATTTTTCTATTGAATGTAAACAAATTTTTTTCTCCTTTTGTTGTTGCAATAATTTCATTATCAGTACATACACAGAAATGTATTTGGGCGAAATTAAAAAGTTCCAGGGCCGGAGAATTTAATGTTTTTTACATCTACAACCCTGGGTTTTCTTCTACTGCCTTTCTTATGTGTAAGTGGGATTTTAGGTACACATAAACGTAGTAGTCAACCCTACAACTATGAGTTAGATAACTAGTGCAGGTAATTACCATTACCAATTGTGAAACTGGGCCTAACTGTCAAAATGCTAGTGTCATTTTTTTTACAAGCTTATCAGACGTCCATCTGTCAAATTCAAGTTTGACTTCAGTCGAAAATTGCCTTATTCAAGAGTTACGATTTTTATTCTACGAGAATGACACACAAATAAGTGTCAATGGATAGTGAATCGTAACTCACTGTCAAAATAATCGCATTTGATTGGTGTCAATTTTTTTAAAGGCTCATCCAATGAACTATAACCAAAAACTGGAATGCGAACACATATTGACGAACGTGAAGCCTAGTGCAGCTGCTGCGGAGGGGATACCTGTTTTTGTCGCACTCATTATGTTAAATGGCGGAAATTGCTTCCAACACGTATTCCATTTGATGAAACCTGTGAAGGTATATATGACAAAACTGTCCAAAACGTCATATGTCAGCGAGCAACAGAAAAAAACAACATTCCCCTTTGTGGCATCTGTCTTTCATGGCTACATTTTTTTGGCAGTAATAGCAATGTGTGCGCATTCCAGTTTTTGGCTATAGTTCATTGGGCTCATCAGACATCCAACTGTCAAATTCAAGTTTAACATTAGTCGGAAATTGCCTTATTCAAGAGTTACGATTTTAATGCTACGAGAAAGACACACAAATAAAGTCTGTTTTTTTTAAAGATAAAAGTCAAAATGACATTATGTTGGCAATACAATGTAAAATTGTCAATGCTTTCAAATTTTTTATGTAGAAAAGGCTTGTGTTGCCAACATAGTTACTAAATTTTTGACTTGGGAAATTATCTTTAAAAAAAAAACACACTTTAAATCTCAATGGACAGGGAATCGTAACTTACTGTCAAAATAATCACATTTGACTGGTGTCAATTTTTTTACAAGCTCGTCAGACATCCAACTGTCAAATTCAAGTTTGACATCAGTCGAAAATTGCTTTATTTAAAAGTTAAGATTTTTATTCTACGAGAATGACATACAAATAAATCTCAATAGACAGTGAATCGAGACTTACTGTCAAAATAATCACATTTGACTGGTGTCAATTTTTTTACAAGCTCATCAGACATTCAACTGTCAAATTTAAGTTTGACATCATGAAAATTGCCTTATTCAAGAGTTACGATTTTTTTTCTACGAGAATGACACACAATTAAATCTCAATAGACAGTGAATCGGGACTTACTGTCAAAATAATCACATTTGACTGGTGTCAATTTTTTTACAAGCTCATCAGAAATCCAACTGTCAAATTCAAGTTTGACATCAGTCGAAAATTGCCTAATTCAAGGGATACGATTTTTATTCTACGAGAATGACATACAATTAAATCCCAATGGGCACTGAATGGTGATTTACTGTCAAAATAATCACATTTGACTGGTGTCAATTTTTTTACAAACTCATCAGACATCCAACTGTGAAATTCAAGTTTGACATCAGTCGAAAATTGCCTAATTCAAGAGTTACGATTTTTATTCTACGAGAATGACATACAATTAAATCTCAATGGACAGTGAATCGTGATTTACTGTCAAAATAATCACATTTGACTGGTGTCAATTTTTTTACAAACTCATCAGACATTCAACTGTGAAATTCAAGTTTGACATCAGTCGAAAATTGCCTACTTCAAAAGTTACAATTTTTATTTAACGAGAATGACACACAATTAAAACTCAATAGACAGTGAATCGTGACTTACTGTCAAAATTATGACATTTGACTAGTTTAAATTTTTTTACAAGCTCATCAGACATCCAACTGTCTAATTCAAATTTGACATCAGTCGAAAATTGCCTAATTCAAGAGTTACGATTTTTATTCTACGAGAATGACATACAATTAAATCTCAATGGACAGTGAATGGTGACTTACTGTCAAAATAATCACATCTGACTGATGTCAATTTTTTTACAAACTCATCAGGCATCCAACTGTCAAATTCAAGTTTGATATCAGTCGAAAATTGCTTTATTCCAAAATAAGGATTTTCATTCTACGAGAATAATATACAAATAAATCTCAATGGACAGTGAATCGTGATTTACTGTCAAAATAATCACATCTGACTGGTGTCAATTTTTTTACAAACTCATCAGGTATCCAACTGTCAAATTCAAGTTTGACATCAGTCGAAAATTGCCTACTTCAAAAGTTACAATTTTTATTTAACGAGAATGATACACAATTAAATCTCAATGGAGAGTGAATCGTGACTTACTGTCAAAATAATCACATTTGACTGGTGTCAATTTTTTAACAAGCTCATCAGACATCCAACTGTCAAATCCAAGTTTGACATGAGTCGAAAATTGCCTTATTTAAGAGTTACGTTTTTCATTCTACAAGAATGACACACAATTAAAGCTCAATGGACAGTGAATCGTAATTTACTGTCAAAATAATTACATTTGACTGGTGTCAATTTTTTTATAAGCTGATCAGACATCCATCTGTCAAATTCAAGTTTAACATCAGCTGAAAATTGCCTAATTCAAGAGATACGATTTTTATTCTACGAGAAGGACACTCCATTGAATCTCCATAGACAGTGAATCGTGACTTACTATCAAAATAATTTTATTTGACCTATGTCAATTTTTTAACAAGCTTATCAGACATCCAACTATCAAATCCAAGTTACGAAAATTGCCTAATTCAAGAGTTTCAATTTTTATTTAATGAAAAAACACAATTTTCTCAATAGAGCTTACTGTCAAAATAATCACGTAATTAGGTTAAAAAGTTAAATAAATCTCAGGTAGGTACTTTGAATAAGTTTATTGACGTTTCGACATTGATCTGTGCTATCTTCAGGGCTAGGAGATATCCCAAAAATCATTTGACATAACCCCAAAAAATCACTGATAACTTTTTCAATACCTACCAATTTGTAAACAGGATTCCATTCAATATTTGTGAACGGGTTTCAAGGTGGTAAACTGATTTTCCTGCTACTTACAACAAATTTCCTTGTGTCTTGACATTGACCAAATCTCGCAATCCATCAAAAACAAACTTGACACTAATAAACCAAATCAAGCTTTTTTTGTAATAAAGGGTGTTTTGCATGTATGTATATAGAATAAATAATAATTGGGTGCACTTAAAAAAGTATGCATAAATGCATAATGAATTAGTTTCGAAAGTAATCAGATACTTATTTTCTTGAATGATTTGTTATAAATATACAGGGTGATTCACGCAGCCCCCGTTTATTAAATTAGGTTGCAGGTGGATTATATGCTATCTCTACTAATCCACCTGCAATCTAATTGAATTCTAATGCACGGGCTACGTCAATCACGGTGTAAGTATACTTATTAATTGAAAATGACAGGCCTACAACTATGGCCAAATAGGCTTTGTTAAAGTATAAGAAGTTTCTCTTCAAATTTATGCAATATTTTACAATATTTTATAGTAAAACGATTGTAAAACAAAAACTAGTTAACCTTTTACTTTATTGTATATCGGTGCTTGAAAATCCTTTAAAAATAAAGAAAACTCGAATGCGCGGGAGTGCGAAAACGTGATTTTTGAATTAGATTTACTATTAATTACTGCATACCGTATACGCGGTTTTTATTTGATACAATTTATGCGTATTCTAGGAATAAATAAAACACCATAAATAATGGGGTTTTGTTAATATACCTAAACGTATAAATAATTAGTAGTTACCATTCAATTATAAGTAATTAATTATTATTATAGTGGATATAAATCAGGACTTTTAGTATTTTGCTATATCTGAGTTGAAATTCAAAAAGTTCAAGTTAGACTCTCACAAAGTTATTAGCAAGGCAGGACAAAGGACAAAGTAAAGGACAATTGGTTACAGCCTGAAGAAGAAACTATATTTGTCAAAACGTAGCTAAAAAAATTAAGCCATTATTTGTTCTTACTGGTCCACATATACCCAAGAACAACAAAATAATATCTACGTCACTAGAAAAGAATTGAATTTTTACCATTCAAAAGAGGTATAAAGAGGTTCTTAAAACGCATGCATATTTGACTTTCACAGAGCTGAAATTCAATCAGGAAACTAAGAAAATCTCATGCCTGGATCTGATAGAACTGAAATTTGAACTGAAAACCACAAAAGTTCCAGTCCTGGACCTCCTAATGCAAAAATTGAAACAGAGAAGTGTACAACTTTGAATTTTGACGATTTAAAATAGGTATAGAGGTTCAAAAAATGCATATTCGGCCTTCACAGAGCTAAAATTCAATCAGAAAACTAAGAAAATCCCATTCCTGGATCTACTAGAGATGAAATTTGAGCTGAAAACACGAAAACCACAAAATTCTAATCGTGGACCTGATAATGCAAAAATTGAATCCAGAGAAGTGTATAACTTTGAATTTCGACCATTTAAAATAGGTATGAAGTTCAACAAACGCATATTCGACCTTCACAGAGCTAAAATTTAATCAAGAAATTGTGACCAGAACACAAAAACA